AAGATGGAAGTTCATGGGCACAGTAAGTAAGACAACTGCAGAATGGATAAATTCTATTTTTTTTTAATATGGATGCATCATTTTCTATACAAACAGCAAATACTCACAGTACTGTCCCTGCTTAAGCAGCTCAGTCAGACGGACGCCACGGTTCAGCAGCTGCTGAGTGGCAGCATCCAGATCAGAACCAAACTGAGCAAAGGCAGCCACCTCACGGTACTGGGCAAGCTCCAGCTTCATGGTACCAGCCACCTGATGATGGACAGGAAAAATGAAGTTAATGTGAAAGACTCCCAGCACAAAAATCAGTTGAGAGACTAAAACTAGGCAAGACTGAAAGACCAACCTGTTTCATGGCCCTGGTCTGGGCAGCAGATCCGACACGTGACACAGAAAGACCGACATTGATAGCTGGACGAATACCCTTGTAAAACAGCTCAGTCTCCAAGAAGATCTGCGGGAGAAAACATATTTAATGGTGGCTGAGGATCCAAATTAAAATGAGGGAAGGCAACTCACTGACCTGTCCATCTGTGATGGAGATGACATTAGTTGGAATGTAGGCTGACACATCACCAGCCTGTGTCTCAATAACAGGAAGGGCTGTGAGGGAGCCACCGCCGAAGTTGTCGTTCATCTTAGCAGCTCTCTCCAGCAGACGGGAATGCAGGTAGAAAACGTCTCCTGGGTAAGCCTCACGCCCGGGGGGACGACGGAGCAGCAGGGACATCTGACGGTAAGCGACAGCCTGCAGGAAAGCAAGAACCAGACACAGACTTTAAACACAGTTTTTTACGCTTGTGTTAAAAAACGCTCTGTAGCATGAGACCAAATAAACTCACCTGCTTGGAGAGATCGTCATAGATGATCAGGGCGTGCTTTCCATTGTCTCTGAAGTACTCTCCCATGGAGCAGCCAGAGTAGGGAGCCAAGTACTGCAGTGGAGCAGCATCAGAAGCTGTAGCTGACACCACTATGGTGTACTTCATGGCATCGGCATCAGTGAGCCTCTTCACCAGCTGAGCCACTGTGGACCTCTTCTGGCCAATAGCAACATAAATGCAATAGAGCTTCTTCTTCTCATCAGTCCCATCGTTGAAGCGCTTCTGGTTGATGATTGTGTCAATGGCAATGGCAGTTTTTCTGCAAGACAAATGAGGATACACAAACCACCAGTTCACATTTTTGTGCTTAGAACAGTTTTAGAAGATCTAACAGTCTAAAAAAAAGTGTATTATATTATAAAGAGTGTATTTCTAATCCATTATTCATAAACACAATAGAAATCCTAGCTTCCAGCATACAAAAATGACACCTTGTTCACAGTGATGTAAGCTCATGTAGATATATGGAATTATTTTGCACATTTGGTTTCCCATCTGACAAAAAACAATCAGATGCTTCATGAGACATCATATCTGCAACGAAACATGAAACAAAGCTGGCAGAACTTAGCTTAATATGAACTAATGAGTTTAAAATGTCATTTATGAAGTAACAAAAAAAACTTGTCTGTGAAAAAAAATAATGGTCAAGTGCTAAAAAACACAACAACAACTTATTATAATAATAGGGTATCTGTGACCCCTTCTTTGGAAGCGTCACTTCCACTACTGTAGAAGCACTTAAAAGGGACTGGAAATCCCATCAAATACTCTGTCGTATTCAGCTATTCACTTTGAGCCTCTTACCCAGTCTGTCTGTCTCCAATGATGAGCTCACGCTGTCCACGACCTATGGGGACCAAACTGTCCACAGCTTTGATGCCGGTCTGCATGGGCTCCCTCACAGAGATACGGGGGATGATACCAGGAGCTTTCAGTCCCACACGCCTGCGAACCTTGGAGCCCAGAGGGCCCTGTGGAGAAAATGATGTATAAAACCATCAAGTGTACCATCAATCAACTCCACAAAGCCAAAGGCCAAGCAAAATTGGGTGAACAAAAATCTTTTTACACATATTGAAATTTAGTTGAAAGTTAATGAACCAACTCCTCAGTTTACTAATAGATTATTAAACAGCAGTTTCAATCATTTATCAAACATACCTAACACTCTACATTTAACCATGTGATCATAAACTATAATATTTGAAGTTTCAAGTGCTGTTCGGCTAGAATAAGCAATGACGCAATTAATTTAGAATCTGGAAAACAAGACTCTCTTGGTTTTCTGACAGGTACCTTTCCATCGATGGCATTTCCAAGAGCGTCCACAACGCGACCCAGGAGCTCCTCGCCTACAGGCACATCAACGATAGCGCCTGTTCTTTTGACGATGTCGCCCTCTTTGATCAGCTTGTCATTACCAAACACTACGACACCAACGTTGTCAGGCTCCAAGTTCAGAGACATACCCTGGGTAGGAGAACAAATAACCATTATTACCTTTGTTTGCATGAATTTACCATGCAAAGTACTTGAACAACCACTGTGTTTAATAATCCATTTTAAAGGACAGTATGTGGGTAAAGACTAATTAAAACCACATCTTTAACTCAATTTTCTGCCAACAGATCCACTTATTATCAGAGGTTATCATTTCAAGGAACAACACATTAACCTGGGATTTAAACTTGAGGCAGTATGCTTACCCAGTGGCTTACAGATATTCTTTGCTGCTAAAGTAAAAATCTATCATTCTCCAAACACCTTTGACTTAAAATGATCTAGAAACTGTTTAAATATTTTTATTCACTCGTGGTATTTAAACAAGGTCATTATGTAAGACTTAGATAGTCACCTTAAGACCAGAGGAGAACTCCACCATCTCCTCAGCCTGCACGTTCCTAAGACCGTACACTCTGGCAATACCATCACCAATAGACAGTACGCGACCAGTCTCCTCCAAATCAGCACTGGTATCAGCTCCCATGATTTTCTCCTCCAGAATTGATGAGACCTCAGCAGTGCCTGTAATGTATAATGAGTGTTTACATTTCAGGGTTAATAAAGTTCTATGAAACTAATTAAGACAGATATTGTGAGATCTTTACATAGTGGTTCTTCCTCAAACATTGCTGGGGAGAAATGTTCCAAAATAATTCATTTCTTAGATTCTAGGCTGAAGCAGACTTCCCAAAACACTGACCTGTTTTTTTCTGCAGCCATGGGCTAGAGGTGTGTAGATTCTTGGCTCCTACACAAGCCGCAGCAACATTCTTTGATACCTTTATCACATCAAGAAAGAGCGAAAGAATTTGTTTTATCCAGGCTGGAAATACAGCAGTTTTCAATCATTAATTATTTAAAAACAGTCTAACCAAATATAAACTGGCAGCTTATTAGGCAAACTAAAATTAAAGAGGTCATGATGTCAATCATGGAATAAATCGTTCCAAATGAACATTATAAAAAATAATAATGAAACCCCCGTCTTTCATTATTAATTACATTGTATGATAATTTTTGAGATTTGTTGTGCTGTTAACTAAAATAAGTGACCAAAGTAAAGATTACAGACTGGACTTGTTTTAGGTGTCACTGCCACTGGATTTAAATCACCTATAGCCCCCTGAGTCACAGAGGTGACAAGCAGAAATAAAATTTAAAAAGCTACATACAGAATACACATGAACTACTGCACCATGCATTACCGTGTCATTTAATCACAGCAGCTATATTACAATTTTATAAAAGGTTGGGCTGGTTCTAAGTATGACAAACTGTATATAAAAGGTTTCAGGTCATAGAGTCATAGGACAATCTCAACCGATGACTGGTACAGATCGAGTCTATAATATCCATCCAGAACAGTGAAATGTCTACCATAATGTTGCTTTATGTACTGAAAGAACTGTACAAAGCTTGCTTGATAAATACATTATGACTAAGGCTGTCATACCGAAGGGGCGAAACCTGACCTTCAACACCAAGTTACAGCTTTGTCATTTCCACTGACACTCGCCTAGCAGTGCAACACGTGGACCAGCGTTTGCTTTTTTTTTTCATTTATCGACTCCTCAAGTTGGGTTTTGCTGTCTGTCAACTACAAACATGTTAGCAACAGTGACTGGCACTGTGAAGGGCCCAGTGCCCTCCGATGCAAAGACGTGCGCGCGCACAACAGCCGCCATGGTTTTGTGCGAATAAATTCTTGTTTTTCCTTAAAGAAGTGAACAAAAACGTCACATATAGAAGTAGAGGTGCTTACCAATCCAGCCCTGCGGGGCAGGTTGCGGGCGAGAGCCGCTGCGACGCGAACTGACAGCATGTTGGTGTCCTACGAGGTCTGTCCTGCTCCTGGAGAGGAGAGAGAAGGATGGCGGACACGGCAGCAAATTGTAGAGAGGTCACCGCAACCCGGAAGTACTTCAAAATAAACCACTCTCCAGACTTTTTGTAGTTTTTTATTTTTTTACTTTATTTTGTTGTATTTCTTCGGGTTCCCTTTAAAAAGTGTGTCGGTAGCTGCATAGATCACAGTAAAATAAAATCATTTGGATACTGACTGTACTTCAGTTTAATTTTTATGTTTTTTAAAAGATGGCTCCTGTGGCTCCTCCACAGATCTTTTTTTTTTTTTCATACTTTAATTAAATTTATGCACATATTACAATCTCTCGTTGGGAGACAACATTAGTGCAACAACATCTCGAAAAGGTTGAATAAGAAACCAAACAAAAAAAAAACAAAACACAAAACACAAAAAAAAACAAAAAACAAAACAAAAACACATATATACATATACATAAATATATGAAGGCCATTTTTATGACATATAACAGTTTCCTTTCTGCGAACACTTTAACATACATGTGGCTTACTCCTCCACAGATCATTAACCTAAGGAATAATGCGGATATATGGAAAGAGAGAGAAAGAGGGCGAGGGGTGGGGGTGACAGAGATGGTGCTCGGAATAGTGTAAGATGGAGGCAGATGATCCGCTGTGGCGACCGCCTTTGGGGAAAGAAGCCGATAGAAGAAGAAGTGCTGATTTCCGAACAATAGGGGGCGCTCGTCTAAGTAGCGCATACCGGAAGTGGCGCACGTAGCTTTGTGAGCGATGGAGACATTTTAAAAAAAAACATACAGCTAACTGCTAAACAGGGCTCGCGGAGCTGCGAGTCTTCTGCGTCAAAACACATTCAAATTCTTCCAAGTTGTAAATAAGTCAAGTGCATTCAGCGGTGCACAGTTTACATATCACATATCAGAGAGGTTGCACGTTACTGAAGATGTCGAGTGTGACACTTGGAAAAGAAGAATATAAGTAACTCTGCGGTAAGTTGTAACTAGCCGAGTGCTATTTTAAAGGCTAAGTTGGTTATCGCTTTTGACTGATAGCTGCTGACATTATCCTGCTTGTTACAGCTCTGGCTGGATTCGTAGCGCTTCCATTTTTAGGCTAATGATAGGCCGCTATCTTGCAACGTGAATATTTTTTCCACGTCTGCCTGTCGCCAAGTTTGGGAATCTTAAGGTTATGACCGAGGTTAGCTTCACTGTGCAGCTAAAAGGGTGTGCTAGTTCCAGCTAGCCCTTGACACAACTAACTGAAGTAATTTATCCGGGAACAAATAAACATCCTGTAGTTTACACGGGTACTTTAATGGGTTTAAACCTTTGTTTAAAAGGGTCGTTTTCGCTGTCTGTGAAATCTAAAACTAAAGCAGATGCTTAGCACCTTCTAGTAATACCGTTAAAAACATATTCTGGCCAAATATTGTCCGACATTTAACGTGTCTGTGTGCTTTTATACTTAAAGCAGTAATTGGATTAGAAAGGAAGAAGTAGTAAACTATAATATTCCACTTTTATTTATTTTAGTATAGGGTATAGCTTTGATTTAAGAACTTTACGGTTATAGTAATAATTGTTAATTATTCAGTCTCCTAAATATTTCCAAATAAATATTGTAGTAAAGAATTTATGTGTCATGCAAGATATTTATTTTAAGTTGTGTTTTTTTTCATATAATTCTTTTGTAAAAGTAATTGTTTTGTTTAAAAGAATTAAGGTTTAAAAACAATTGTTATTGTCTTTCAAGTTTGTTTAGATTGTTTAACTAAAGTTTGTGATGCTTCGTTTCCTCCAGCAGGTGAGGTCCTGTCCAGGGACATTGGTCCATGCTTGTTGGACCTTTGGCCGCTGGGCTCAACTAGCATGAAGATGGCTGACTCAGAAAAGGCAGAAGAATTTGTAGATGCTGAGTGCCCCTCAGAGTGCCTTGATGAAGCTCAATCAGCCACAGCTTCTGTTCAAGCAGAGCAGGATGAGCATCTGAAAACAGAAACCACTACCAGTACCAGTTCGCCCCCAAGGGAAAAGGAGGCGGACAGCCCCTTGAATACAGAAGGTGAGCAGAGTCTCCTGTCCATGCCATGCTTGATGAAGGAGCTTCGCAGAGACTCACCAGAGTCTCAGCATGCCTCAACAGGAAGTGACAAACCCGTGTCTCGTCATATCTACGAGAGTGACTCCTCGAACCCCTGCATGCTCTCGCCTTCATCCAGTGGCCACCTGGCTGACTCTGATACACTCTCCTCGGGGGAAGAAGGTGCTGCTCCTCCCATAGGAGAAGAGGAAGAGGGCAGCATGGAAGCTACAGGTGATCCTGGGCAGGCAGGAGGAATGCAAGCATCTGCCACAGTTGCAGGGGGAAGGAAGTCTCGACGGTCACGTTCAGAGAGTGAGGTGCCTCCAAATACAATGGCTGCAAAGAAGAACCGCTGCCAGCCCACCATGATAGCAGCCGCAGGAGGCCAGGAAAAACAAACCAATGGCAAGTTTTCAAAAGTGAAAGGTCACCGCAGTCAGAAACACAAGGAGCGAATGCGCCTGCTGAGGCAAAAACGAGAGGCAGCAGCACGGAAGAAGTACAACCTGCTACAGGACAGCAGTACAAGTGACAGCGAGCTCACTTGTGACTCCAGCACCAGCTCCTCCGAGGATGAGGATGATGACACCTCAGGGGGTAGCAAGACAATCAAGACAGATATTCCAGGTAATAACCGATGTTTACAACGCATGCTTAAGAGCTCAGTACTACTACCATCACTGTCCACTAGCAGCCACTTAGTATTTCATATAAATCTCTGACTCACATTGCAGACTAGTACTGGTTTACAACATAAGAAAGTATTGACTACTGATCAGTTAGACATAAGAGTCTGCCTGCATGAGTTAAAAAAAAATTGTCAACCAAATCATTAAACTGATACAACAACTGTACAAATCCTTCCTAACATCAAATCAATAACAGGGCTGCTTTGTTTGTTTTGTCATTTTTTTCCTTAGTTATTTTCCCATCCATGTCTATATTCATTCAAGTTGTCTTTAGATGTATACAGTATATGTTTAGAGGACCAGCACCTAGTCATAATACAGCATTACCCCTTTCAGACATGTACCGTTTTTAGTCAGACAGACATCATCTTAGAATGCATTGGCTGGACAATCATTCTGTTCAGTTTTATCTAGAAGTCTCAACAGAGCGTCACTCTTACAGGCTGAAGCTGCTGTAGGTTCAACCTGCATTTGCATATCACTGTCAGTATGACACAAGTCTAAAATATATGCAGTTGCATTAATGAAATTGCAACTTTGCACATCTCTCTTAGCATTTGTCTTGGTAAGACATCCATGATGAAGAATTTTCACTTTTTCCAACCCAGAATAAAGCTCATTTGCTCTCACACAGTCTATATGCTGTATTTGGGAGCTGCTACAGCAAACACTCACACATACAGAACCTGGTCCTTGTGATGATGAAGGAGGAAACAAAGTCTTCAAAAAAGGAGATTACACTTCTTCAGATTTGAAAGTATCCTTGTCACTTTGTTTGGCACTTTATAAACCAACAGTGTATATAAAATTATATTTAAAGCTTAAAGTAAATTAAAGATCATTAAAAAATGGTCTCAATATAGATTCATCACCTGATTGTTCTTCTTTGGTTCTTTGGTGGTAGGTCAAAACCTCTTTGGAAGCTTTTTTTTTTCTTTTCTTTTTTTTTTTTTGATTGGCTGGAGAAATCCTGCAAATAAGACACACATACCATGGCTCTCCCCATCACTGTTATATCAATGAAGCTTTAAACAACTAAGCAACATTAATAATATAATTAACAATATAAAGCCCCTTTTCGATTAGTACCTACTTGGATCGACTCAGCACGTTTCGCCACAGTTTTCAGAGTTTTCTGTTAGGTCATAGTACCTGCCTGGTACCTGGTACTTTTTCGTACTTGCTCAGCCGGGGTTCCAGTGATCCGAGCAGGTACTAAAATGTGATGCCGTCAGACTGCATGCCACTGATTAGCTGGTCAGTAGCATCACAATGGCTACAAAAAACCGTGGTCCCTGAGTCTGGCGAAAAGCCACAGACCGAGTAGCAGGTATATTTTTGCCTCGGCGTCCACCTTTGTTGTAGCGTTCATGTCACATATTAATCGCGTCGTTCACACACACATTAGGAGGTACTAAATTGTAATGGAAAACCAGTCGATCCGAGTCGATCTGAGTAGGTATTGATGGAAAAGGGTCTTATGAGTGATAACCAGGACTGGAACAGAATGGTAAAGCAAGCAATCTGACATATCCCATGTCTGAAAGAGACTTAAACATTGTCATGAAACTCTTTCTTACTGATGATTTGCTATGGGAGTCTAATCAACATTGTCCAGCTCAGAGTGGTAAAAAAAGAGTTGCGTTAATGTAACCATTACTGTGAGTTCTGCAGTTCAACAAGTCAGCCATTAATATACACAGCCTTTGCTCTAAATAGACATACTATGATCTCACTGAGTTGCAAGACTCTGCAGTCACTGCTGGTGTCAGTAAGCTGTAGAAATACTGGCTTATACATGAGTAAGGACATAAAATCCAATATCTAATGTTGTGTTTCACTAGATTGCCTAACCTCATAAGTAATTAGTCTGTTTTGTTAGAGGGAGTTTAGCAAGTATTTCATTCACATGAAAACTGCTGGGCATTTAGTATTGCATTTCCTGCATTTCTGTCCTTACTAAATATTCCTTAATGTTTCAATATTCCTTTTGTCCTGACCCATCACACACTTCACTCCTCCTACAGTGAATCATGTCAGAAATGTAGTTGGGTGCTTTCCTATACTTTAAATGATTTTGCAACACCTTAGATGAGCCCGTGAGTTCTTGTCATCCTGTTGAAAGTGTAAATGCATACAAATATATACAAATCTAATTGAGAATGGCTTTTTGCGAATCTGTGGGCCAGAGGTGTCTACCTGGAATAAACACTCATTGGCAAACGCTGATTGTAACGCTTGCATGCACGTTAGACCCCGTGAGTTTGCTTACATGTTGTAGAAATCTTTTGGGTGAGTTGAATTCTCCAGAAGTAGCTCCTATCAGGCTGGTGTTTAAAGGTCTCCCAACGGAAGAGAAGCACTCGGTTTACTGTTGGATAATCTTTTGATCATGATTGTGTTCTTTAGCGTATAGCTTGATGTATTTTATTACCGTAGCATTTTTACATTAAAATCAAATTTTAGTTTCTTGTGTTTCATAGATGATCCGTAATAAATTGTTTTTGTATTAGTAAAGGTACTTTTGTTTATATAAAGTCTATCTCTTAGTTATGTCTGTTGCTTTTGCGGCTCAGATTTGAAGTTATTTTGCTTTGGGTTGTTGCATTTACTTTAAAATCTTAAACCTTTTCCAAATCACTCGATCAGTCACCCTCAGACCACCAATTATCTTCCTTCAGGGATCTGTAGGACATGAAATGTTTTCAGCCATTTTTTTACATCCCGCACACAGATTTGAGTGCTACAACTGCATGATGTAGTCCATCAGCATGAAAAGAGTCGATCTGCACGTTACCTGAAACAAACTGTCATTTTCTCTGTAATGCAAAAGTCCACCTCCGAAGCATGAAAGTGCTACTGTATTTTCTTATGGCTTGGCCTCAATGTCTTTAAAGCTGGCTTCAGACGTGCTTCGGAGAGATCCAGAGTGGGATCCCAGATTCATGGGTTACTGGACAGCGGCTCGTGGGACAGGAACGGCATCGGCAGCGTTCTGGAGGAGGCCATGACGCGCTTTGCTGTGATGCAGCGTCAGACCGAGGAGCGCTTCCGCGTCTGGATGGAAAAGCTTGCACACCTCGACTCGGACAACGATTCTTCCAAGCGCTCGAGTGACGGCCCAGAAGGGCAGCAGCAGGCCTCACAGGGGGCACGGCCTTCCCCCCCAAGCTCATTTTTGCCATCTTCAGAGTCTGCAGAGACTATGGCTGCCTACATGTTGGCACGAGAGAACAACAGTCTCACCCACACCCCTATAAACAACAACAACAACATCCACCCTGAAGTTGTCACTCAGAATGGAAATCTAGGTGTTCCAGACCCTGGTCTCTTGAATGTTTAGATTTCACTTCTGCTTCACCCCTCGCAGTTTCTTACTTTGATCTCGGCAAGTGTAGAGATAGTTAAGGCAGAAAGCAATGGGGTATACCCGTTCAAGGATGTGAGGGCACTAAACAGAAACACCACCAGCAGCAGCAGCTGGGCCTGAACTGGTCATTTGAACTTGACTCTGTGCAGACCAGGGGCCCGTGCTATGAAGCAGGTTTAACATGTCTTCTTTATATGGCTTTGTTAAGCCTAGCAAACACAGTCACATGGAGTCTGGTAATCGGTTGGGTTCTTTTTTTTTTTTTGTTTGTTTGTTTGTTTGTTTTAATTAAACCCAGCTATGAGCATTTTCGCATAACATGCGTAATGGTGGCACCAGATGACCAACTGCAAAGACTATGGGACTATAGCCACTTAAAGTCAGAACAAACAGTAATCCTGATATGAAGAAAATTAAAAATGTAATCCAGGCAAAAAGCCAGGAGGAAAAATTGGCATAAAATTGCATTTTGTGTGAATGTGCAATTTACTAAAAGGCCCATTAGTGATGATGCTCCATCACTGACAAACAAGAAAATATAACTTGAATTACAATGATGTATTTCTTCAAATTCATGTGTTACCTGTGGTTGTTTATTTAGATAATTTTAGCTCTGTTGTTTCAGCTACAACCCGGGTAATGTTAAATCGAATGACATCGGGTAAAATATTTTTTTAAATTCTTGCAAATTTTATAAGGTCTAAGCACTGGAATTTAATCAGTTAAAGAGTCTTGACATATGGAAAGAAGAAATGGGCTCAAATGCTCACAGGCATAAGTGAAATAAAACCCACTCAGTACATGTGCTGTACAGCCCAAAGGATCTTCACAAAAGACAACCAATTGGTCAGTAGTTGGTGCTTTATATACGTTCATCTGTTATGTTGAACATGACCTACTCAGGAGGTCGTGTATTTTGGTGTGGTCTAATGTGGCAGTGTACGCGCAGAAGGAACTGAATTTGGAAGCGGGGGAACCCTGAAAACCTGAAACTAGCTTGGAATCCTGCTTAGTAGCACGGGCCCCTGAGGCTCAGCATGTGTGCTGGCACTGAATCACTGTGAGATTTGACACTGAGAAAAATTCAACTCACCTATTTGATTTCTGCAGCATCTGTGACACGGAAACATGGCTTCTCAATAGACTGAGTCAGGGCTCTTATTGTATTGCTTTGGTTTCTTTCTTTCGTTTTTTTCAGCACCAGCTGAATACCCTCTTTGACACATACAGAGTAACTGTTTTATTTCTTTCATTCAGCATATGAACTATAATGATGGGTAGCCATCATTGCAGTGTTAAGTGGGGTGCTGCTGTGTAATAGCATGTGCCTTGTCATTCTGAACTCATGATGGGTAAAGCATTATAGTGCTGTTTCCTTAAGAATCAGGTTTACCACTGCATACCCCCCGTTTGTCTTGAACTGTTTGCACTTTGCTTGTAAACAGTTCAGGAAAATCTTGTGACAACCTTTATTTTGGTGGCATAGCTTTACTAACAGAACATTTAAACATAGATATGCCTATAAATATAAACACAATATACTAACACACACAATTTCTTGCTTTTTTAAAAATCTATATTAAGGATTAGACGTGTTTACATTTTTAAATAAAGGCCTTTCTGTTACATTTGCTGCTGGCACTGCATTTGCGCAGTAACATGAAACGAGTGATTGAGGAATCTGGAAAAGAAAACTTGTGGTTATTTTAGTAGCTTAGGTGTAGATTTTATAACATCATATAAGGCATGGGTTCTTTTGTTGTGGCTATTGGCTGCATTGGCCTCAAATCTTCAGTCATATTATAGTAATGGGTATTTGTCTACTTCAATTTTGTTTGCACTGGTCTGCCAGTTTATCCAGTGTCCCCACCAGGCACTGCGTATTCGCATCTTGACTTTAAACTGAAAACCCAGGCATCAAACGTGCAGATATAGAGCAGTAATACAGCTGCAGTATGGTGCATGGCAATGTTTACGGATTTTTTTCTAATTAAAAAAAGAAAAGAAAAAGTGAGATCTATGTGATCAAGTGGCCTTCTGGTTCACATCCTGTGGTCTTTGAAAGGGGGGAGGAAACAATCCTCCTTGAACCCCCCTCCCCCCCCCACACTGTTTTCACTGATGTAGATGACCATTTGGGTCTTATTTCTAAATACTGCTAACAACCATCACAGAGACTGATGAAGGAATCTTTGGCCTGATCATATTTAAAGTTAAGATGTTCAAAAGTGTTCTCTATATGTGTATATGTAGCCCTATGACTGTCATTTTTACAGAGCCTAAAGCTAAGCGACGTGTTTCCCCCACCTGTTTGCATGCGAGTATATTAGTATATAGAATGTGCAAGGCCAAATTAGTTTACATCAGCAGCACGTGTGCAAGCTATAGCTTTTCCTTATGCTGATAAACGGTGACTGACGGGACATTTTATCTCTATATTTTTTTTCCTTGTTTTCCCTTGACCTAACGGTTTCATGTTGTGTGAAGATTGCTTGTTTTGTAAAGCGTTCCTTTGCCATTACGGATTTAAATAGATCCAGCGTCAGCTTTCCTGTACTCCTTAAAACTAGAATGACTTTTAAATCAACAGTTTTGTCAGCACAGTAACGAGAGCCTGTGCATGAAATCAAAATGTGCATTAAAAACAACAGCAAGGACAGTCCATTGTTTACCAAAGACACTAACCTGGTCTACATTAGTGCTTTTCTATCTCTAATACATGGCCTTTATATTGGCAAGTGCTTGGTTTCTTTGGTAACCCTAGTATCTACCTATATCAGCTATTCATAGGCAGTGTTCTCTCACAGTACATGCTGTCCAGACAAAACCCCTCTCACACACCCACAGATGTCTGGATAGCAGAGTGTGTGTCTGTCTGTGTCTGTGTGTCTCTCTCTCTCTTTCCCAGGGACTCCTTTTTACAGGGTAGAACAATTATGTGCTCCCGCTCTTCTAGTTACACTCCTGTTGTTTGGCTTTGTTTTGTTTAGTTTTTTTGACTATCCCCACTACATTTCATTCACTGAGTAAGATTATTTTGAAATGTGTTTTGTAACGACTGTACTCGAGTGTAGTTTTTATGTGAATGGCTGTTATTTTAAAAAGCAATAAATGGAAAGAACAAAAGGTTTGTTGATGTGCTTCAAATACAACCATCATTTATAAGAGTATAATGCATTGTTTTATTTTAGAGTTAATGTAGACCTTTACTTCAGGGGAAACGGGGGACCAATGGGGGTTTTCTTGTGTCTATTGTAGATGCTAAGACTTAGCGGGTCTGTGGAAGCAGTGTCCAGTCTCTCATTCAAACAGAAGTCGCACTATTCCCAGGCATGATTTGAATAATGAAGTGTTTTCTTTGTTCTCTGCAGACGGGCCTCCAGTAGTGGGTCACTATGATATTTCAGACACTGATTCTAACCACGAGAGTATGAATGTGGAGGCAGTCCGGCCCACGGTGATAAAGCATGAGCTAAAAACACACAGAGGCCAGGATATGGCAGCTCACTCTGGGTGTATAAGAGCTCTGAGCTCTACCTCAGGTCAGTTACAAACCCGGTATAATAAATTCCAATCCTCTCAGTGAAGGCAGGACATTTTAAAGGCATGGGTTGTCATCAGTAAGCTGAAATGTGCCGTGTGGCAGGAGGCGGTCTTATTAATCTCAGCAAGACACTTTTGAAGCACTCTTTATCCCACACACCGCCAGCTGGCATTTGATGTTACTAAAAGTCTTGACCTTTTTTGCAGCCGACAGAACATGAATATAAAGGCAGCCATCTAATGTGTCACTCCATGCTGTCCAGTCAGTTTTACAAACACCACTGTCAGCTTCATCTCTGTTTTGTGTTGGGGTTTGTGTTTTTTGTGTGTCTGTGTCAAAGCAGCTGCTGTCTTCACGTGTCAGCGAGGTCTGAAGCGCTCTACTGCTTCGGCCCTCCTCACAAAGCATGACTGTGTTCCTCTACATTTGTTTCAGGCCACATGGAGGCAGAGCTGTCGCACAAGGAGAGCTCTCAGCACAAGGGCCAGATTAACATTGTTTCCTCTGACAGTGAGGTGGAAATAGTCGGAGTGCAAGAAAAAGCACGGTAAAGACTTTCAGTGGGGAAACTGTAAAATTCTACTGTTACTGCCCACCCCTCCACTGAATTCAACTTTTTACTTTTTTTTTTTTTTTTTTACTTTTTTTTTTTCTTTCCTTTTCAAATCTAGATGCGCCCATCCTTGCGGGGGGGTCATAAAGAGTTTGTCCTCCTGGAAAGAGAACTCAGGGGAGCAGTTAAACAGCACAAATCAATCACAGCTCTGGACTACTGTTTCCCCTCAGCCCAACTGGGTGTCCCCTCCTGAAGTGGTGGACCTCACGCTGGACGAGGACGGCGGACACAAATACCTACTTTAATAAAAAAAAAAAAAAAAACCCAACGTATACACTGAAGACTTTTTTTTCCCTACACACCTCTTCCTCCCAACTGCTCCTCATCCATCTTGCCTGTCCTCCACGTTAAAGCTAAACTGAATCCTTTCTAGAGTTGTGGCCTCGCCTGTAACCGCTTGTGGGCTCTTCCTGCTCCAAAGCACTCTTTTTTGTTTTTAACTTTACTGTTGAACAATCATGTATCAAAGCCATTCAACTGGTGTGATTCCCTGAACCTTTGCTTGTCAGCTATGAATTTTAGCTGCATCTAAATGGCACAGCACCTCAAGTGAAGGTGGAAATGTACAAGAATGATTTATCTGGTAATGATAGCAATATCTTCCCTTCATTTAATACCTCAGTTACCCTTCAATACCAGATATAGGCAGTGTGTCATGTGCTTGCAAGCTGTATAGTGAACATTTCAAGTTGCTGCTTTAGAGCAGGTCAGTATCATGAGATGGCTGTGAACCTGCTTCACTACAGACTTTGAATGAAATGTTTTCAGAATTGATTTGGCTTTTTTTTTTTAAATCTGCAGCCACCTGAGGTCAGAACAGAATGGCAGCTTGTACACTTTCTGTTGTACAGTAGTAGACCATAGATAAATGACAAAGTTTACTTTGTATCTGTCAAGGGTAATTTTCTATTTTTTTCCCCCCCATTTTCAAAGGTCTTGCCACTGGACTTGCATTTAGATCCGTCTGCCTTTATAGATTGTTTTACTATACGGTGTACAACCCATGCTCTGATGCTGTCAGTGAGTGCTTTGCTTCATTTGAAAAGAAGTATCGGATATTTAGGGAAACTTTCACTATTTTTAGAGAGTTAGATGAGAAGACTGGTAACAGAAATCTATTTTAAAAAATAAAGCAGTTTAGAGCTAGGTGGATGTGGTTCTTGAGGTAGAGTGGTAAATGGACTGTATTTATCGCTCTTTTCCCTTCACCCACATTCATACAAGCACTTTTTTTCTGTCCATGCCTAAGCACTCGCACATGCATGCATTAATGGGAACTCAGGGTTCAATATCTTGCCCAAGGATCCTTCGACATGAAGAAGAGCCAGGGATTGGATCACTGATCTTCCAATCAGTAGAAGACCTTTAATCTTCAGAGCCACACAGAGAGTGAGGCATCCCATAATTGGAGAGTCGGGTTTTTTGATTTCCTAGCTCCATCTAGCCACATGTCAAAAGGGTCAAAATTTTGAACTCCAGAATCTTCCCATTAATGTGTAATCTGCATCTGACTGTTTGTGTGATAGTGCTGGATGCATGTTTGTGTGATGGGTGTTTTAGGTGGGTGACAAAACATAAAAACTAAGACTGCAGTCCATTTATATTCGCTCGACAGAAATCAGGGAAACACTCTCTCCAAGAGCCACATACTAGTTCCTTTGCATTTACTAGTTAACACATGGTATATCAGTATGAGTAGTTAAAAAATAAAAGAAAATTTTTTTTACATGCTGTAGTGTGAAACCCCGGACACTGCGTACACATTGGTCTTTGACTGACGAGTCATTAACATTTATCCTCCATTTATACTCCTTATGTAAACCATAAATTACAAAATGAGCTTCATGTTTCATTCTGTATGACCTGAAACTAGTGATGGAGCCCATGAAGTCATCAGGGAAGTGTTCAGTGAGATTACAGAGCAAGCAGGTTAACGGCTGTTTTCCGATAGGCTCGCGCACAACCAGAAGTCTTTTTGCAGCCAGAGGAGTCACCTGCTGCCGGCTGTTAAAAAGAATACAGGTTTAAGACACTTGGGAGTTGGTTTCTCCACCTTTAGTATGGTCAGAAATAAATAGGTCAAGTAGATGGACACGAGCATGCTTGCAGTTTCCTTGGTCTCTATTCTTTCTACATAGCTAACTGGCCGCTAGCTTCACACAGTCAGGTTATCGATCTTCTCATCTAATGTTTACTCATCACCAGAATGCCAATAAACATTTCTGAAGAAGTCACTTCATTTAAAATTTCAGTTTTTGTTTGTTGCCACTATAATACAGGAACAATAAAACTTTTTATTTTTGGTTAGGGGTGTCTTGTTTTTTGGGCCCTCCACAAGAATTCAAGTTTGTCATGTGACACCTGGGGGAAATTAATTGCACACCTGTGATTTGAAGCCTGGGAAGAAAATAAGCAAAAAAAAAAAAAAAAAGTCCAAGCTACAAAACACTACGACAGTGCTGTTTTTGTTTTCAAAGATGCATTGGAAGCCACACTTTTGTTACAGTGTTTGAGTGTCCAAGGGCGACTTTAATTATCAGTGAATGTATGTCCTTGCCGTGCTGGCTGGTTGTACTTATTGTTTGCATGCTTACCTTGAATGGATGCAAACTCCTTTAAATCTCTGGGGACCCCTTTATAATAACTGAGGAACTGTATCTTCCAATGAATACTGCAAAGCAAGATGGCCTGAATGCCTTGAAATGTGCACTATTTCCTTTTAGAAAGGTTTAAAGCTTATTCTTTTACCTTACAAAGCAGCGGATTTTGCTATCGCAACAATAAATATTTTAATAATAGATGTTAATTTCACAAACACACATATATCTATACATATATATCTATAGAAAAAGAGTAAAAGTGATGTTGAGTTTATGCCCAATGTGTGAGTTATGGGGCATTTATAGATGAGATGATTATTGTATAAACTGTTTTCTGTTTTTGTTTTTCAACCCTGATCCTCAGGGCCTGCTTGCTCTCTTTCCTGCTGTCTTCTTTTGTCTTCATGCAGTACTGCAGCCACGCTGGCTAAAAAAAATGTAATCAATAGCTTTACAGGCTATTTTAACACATTTCTTGTAATTGCATATTTAATAACATACACTTTCCTAAGTGACGCTTGATAATTATAGATTTATTTTAACTTCTGCTGGTCACAGAAAGATAAAATTTGAACGATCTAAACCAAAGTCTATATGGAGCTTATGTTCTCAGTTTATTTCCCAATTTATTCTTAGAAATTTACTATGTGAATCTGAATCTCTTCATTTGGAAGTCAGTGAATTTGCTGTGAAAAGATCGAATATAGTTACAAATTGAATATATTGTTGAATATATATTTGGTTTTACTTGGCCAGTTTTTTCTGTTATATACATCTACCACTGTAAGAACTCTGTACCACAACACTTCAGCTTGCAAAAACCATTTTGCTGTTTTTCTGTGGGACTATTATGAAATGCTAGCAAGGCATCACTTGTGTCTTTAGTGATATAAGTGTGGTAGAAACCACGGCAGTGATGCTGGTTGCACATAACATGTTTGGTGGCATCTTTCATCCTCATCTCCGATGTTATCGTGATTGCCGGTATTTCAGCCTCACTCTTCTGTTTTTGCTCCGTTTTGCTGTCAGTATTTTAACTTAACAGAAGTGTTTATTTTGTTGCTTCTGCAAGTCCCTGACTTCCTTGAAATTATGTCTGTAGAACAAAAAGAAACTATTTTAAAACTAAATAAACGGACCGTTATTTAATGAGCTCTTGTCAAGTCATTTATTTCTGTGTTTTACAAGCATATATTTGCAGTTTTTGCTCATGTGCTGTGACTGGTGTCAAGATTTTGACACCAGTCACAGATTTTTGCCTTTTCTGGCAGACCAAAGTGGTGTAATTAATCTGAGACGAGGATGGTGACACGTTTCAGCCTTTCAGGTATGTTTACAACTTTAGCATAAAGTGCGATTTGAATTTCACTTTTAACAGTTCACCCTAAAAATGTTAAATCATGTCATTACAAGACTGATCTGAATTCTTGCTTACTGTGAGTGTTGTTTGAGTGTTCTTATCTGTCGAGTCCTGTGCACAAGTCTCGAGCCAACCCTCATTCCTTTTACATTTTCATCATGAAATATAACTATAAGATAAGAGGGAACAATATAAGTGAGTTACTGAAACGTGCACACATGAAACACAGTATATAAGACAAATAGTTCGTACAGTTCTAATAGCTTGAAATTAATATTTGGTATGGCCGCCTTTATATTTCGACACAGCCAGGAATCCTTCTCCAGGCTTCTTGAAGAACATTCAAAGCTCTCTTTGGACGTTGGCTGCCTTTTGTTCTGCTCTCAGTCAAGATGATCACACACTGCTTCAATAATTTTGAGGTCCAAGCTCTGGGGAGGCCAATCCATGACTCCATTGTGTTTTACAGATGACTGTTGACACTCACTGCTGTACCTCTACCCTGACGTCCTTGGTACATATTCATGATAATAAGACGTGTTGCCACTGGTTTTCAGTCTAGTTCTTGTGTAATTTGGCATACCTCAACATACCTTTCTGCCTGTTTCTCTTCCTTAAGAATAACTCCTTGATAGCGACCCCATTAAGACCATTTATGATTCAGTGAACATTAGATGGATGAAGTGAAGGCCCAGATGAATCTCTCCATCATACTTCTAAAGGACATGACTTTCAGATGCTGCTCATCTGCTGTAGATTTTTTTTTTAGCCCTGATGCTTCTTCTTTTGTACTCCACTTGTCGAGCTTCCTCAATTTGTTTTAGGGAGACACTGCACACCACAGAATCAGAATCAGAATCAGAATGGGTTTATTGCCAGATGTTAAGGTTTACAACATTAGGAAATTGCTGCGGTGCTTCAGTGCAGACAATAAGAATTAAAGTGCTATGTAGAAAGAAAGATATGTGCATGAGATATACATGAGATATATACATGAGAATAAGAATTATGAGTGCTACGTAGAAAGATATATACATGAGTGCAGGTGGTGATCAGTGCCAGACATGAAATGATGCAGTGACACAGCGTAGGGTCATGTGTTAGTGGCGGGGACAGTCATGTGGTTATTGTTCATGTGTCCAACAGCAGAGGGAAGAAACTGTTCTTGTGGCGAGAGGTTCTGGTGCGAATGGACCGGAGCCTCCTGCCTGAGGGCAGCAGGTCAAACAGACTGTGTCCAGGGTGAGAAGGGTCAGCTGAGATCCGAGCTGCACGCCGCAATGTCCTGGAGGTGTACAGGTCCTGCAGAGATGGGAGTCTGCAGCCAATCACCTTCTCAGCAGAGCGCACAACACGCTGCAGTCTCTGTTTGTCCCTGATAGTGGCTCCAGCGTACCACACGGTGATGGAGGAGGTGAGGATGGACTCGATGATTGCAGTGTAGAATTGCATCATCGTCCGTGTTGGCAGGTTGAATTTCTTCAGCTGCCTCAGGAAGTACATCCTCTGCTGGGCTTTCTTGATGACGGAGGTGATGGTGGGCTCCCACTTCAGGTCCTGGGTGATGGTGGTACCCAGGAAGCGGAATGAGTCCACAGAGGTGATGGGGGTGTCAGTCAGGATGATGGGGGGAGTGGGGCTGTGTGCTTCCTGAAGTCCACAATAATCTCCACTGTCTTCTGGGCATTCAGCACCAGGTTGTTGTGGCTGCACCAAGACACCAGACGTTCACACCAAGATCTGCCAAGTTTTAAGCTAATATCTTTTTGGAAATGGCCTTGTTAGTGCAGAAATCGAATTTTACGCACGTCAAGCTGACAGTTTTCCTATATGCAAATAAAGAAATGGGAACAATTTATGTGTTTACAACTTCAAGTTCTTTCTAGGTTGTCTGCCACAAAACTGGTTTAACAACAACACTAGTTCAACCTTCAAGTTAAGTATCCTTTATTGTGTTTGAATGATTGATAGGTCAGTGTTAAGTGACTTAACAAACAAACAAAATGGTTACGTACAAGGCCTGGATTGAAAATGAGTGAAAAAGCAGACAATGTCCAAGGACACTTTAACAGATCTTCAGAAGCCTGGAGAACTATTGCTCAAGATCACTTTTAAAAGAAATTACAAGCGTCTGGCTCCTTGGAAACAAAATATTTAAAGGGTGTCACAAGACTTAGTACTGTATAACTGCCACCATAGGTATAGCACTTAACAAGATGTCTCATTGTTTATTTTATTCTGTGGCCAAGCAGTCTAGACGGCTGCCTGACTGTGAACAATGCAGGTTCATCCTCACCCACCAAAGTAGCATGCCAGGTCAGAGGTCACCCTGTAACACCTGCCACTAGGGGGACATATGGAGTTCACATGAAGAAGACAATGAGGGAGTGGAGCAATGCAGTCTGCGGGGCCCTTTAACGAAAAACTAAAGCCCTTTAGCCAGCTCTTTCCACCCTTGGGGCAGAACATCAGCTGTATGCTAATTTTCACAGGGCAGCGGTGGCCTCACAGAGCAGTGAATGTGCTGGCTCACTCTCAAAGCCAGAAATGATTGCGCTTCATCTTGCAGATGTCCTTTTACACTAAATGATGCCACTTAGGATTTTTGTGTTGTACATGTTTTGTTCCAAGTTATCTCCAGTTTCTTCAAAATGGCATTTCATTTGTTCAGTCCTCGCTCTGCCCACCTCCAGAGGGCTTTCTAAAAATAAAGAGTGGAAATAAGTCTCATTTCTGGTGAGGACACAATTTTTACATCAGATTCTGCTGAAAGAGAGCTCAGCTGCTGCTTCTGTTAATACGTCAACTACAGCCAGCTATCCTGATAAATGCTTGTGTTCAAATGTACATAAATGTGTGGAATAAAGTGGCAGTTTTGATGTGTGAAATTGATTGCAGCAGTGATAGTAAAGCATCGTGAAAGGCTCTTTGTGTTTCACAGCAGGCTTAAGGCATTAGATGACGGGAACTGGAGGACATATGGGACTAAGAGTTTTGTGACCCCCTCAGCCTCCACAGGCCCATCTGTTCCTTCATCCTTCAGGCTTAACACTACAGGCAGTGAGGTTTTTGGGACACAGGCCCCTTTTTTCACAAGTTCTGCTGTATGACAAATCTGGCCAACATATATTCACGAATATTCAAAGAGTTAAGTATTACTTGAACTGTATCGGATCATCAAGAAGATCATTCAGCAACATTTTCCTGATGATCGAGTCTGACAAAGGTCAAGGCAAATAATCTATGCAAGTATATATCTTTCCTTTTTTCAATTCTGTTTATGAGAGAATTCAGTTGCATATGCATAACCATTGGCTGCCCTATAGGTAGGGTTAGGCCCAACCAATCACAGCACTTCAATCCAATCTAAAAAGCAAAAACAGTAAATACCTTTTGTTTCACTTTTGTGTAAGACAACCTGTGCTGTTTTTCTTGTCAGGCAGTGAATATTTGGCTGTCACAAATCACCCTTGTTGGCCCTTAATTGTTAAAGCAAGTTACATCCTTCCTCTCTGCCATCAGTACTTGTTTCAGCGTTGATGAAGACTGACATTTTTCATGATTTCACTGAAAGCAGATGTGATGAAATTGGACAATAAAGTAAGTTGTTTGTTTGTTTTTCTTTTTACAAGAAGGTACCATATTGAAGCTAATGGTGTTTGCAGTTTTAAATTTACTCAATTTTTCAGCCCTGGAAGTTCTCACTTTTACTGACTTAACTTTGAATGATTCTTTAAATGAACTGCCACCTGCTAAGCTTTTTGGGTAATATAGGCAAGAGGCTTTGACAAGGTTTGAAAAGTGCAAGTGAAAAACAAACAAACAACTGTGTCTGCCTTATCAATTTTTTGCAAGCTGCCCATTATGAGTCCAGCAATACATGTATGGTACTGAATCCAGTGTAATTTTCATAATGCTATTTTCTCTTCCCTTTTAAGCCAACTATACCTGAAGCATCAAGAGTAACGCTACTGAAAAGACCCTTCAGAGTGTTAAATATAATCACATTTGTACTCTCAAATGTTATTTTACCCATGGTCCATGTACATATGATTTTCCTTATTATGAGTATCACTGACACCTATCTTGCCATCCTCTTAGATCCTTTGAATAGAAACCTTTTCATACTTTTCAGGGCATATCTCATATAAATCCCTGCATTGTTCAGTTCAGTATACCCTATCTGCAATACATGAAAGCAACTTTGAACTTAAAAATGTAAATGTACTAAATAAATGATAAATCTACTACATTGCAATGCAACATTTATGCCTTACGTGTAAAGAAGGTAATGTATATAGCAGAATCATCTCAAGTCCTGCATTGAAAATGCCTGATATAAAGGCATAATCGGGACAAGTTGGGGCAACTGCTGATTACTATTGTTGTGGATACAGCTGCTGTTTTTGTAATTTATACATATATTGGGTAATACTGGTGTTGTTAACTGTGCCAGTATAGTATTTATCTGTAGTATCACATCAATTTTAAAAGTGTAACGAAAACATAGTGTAATGAAAACGTGAACCTATTTTAAAAGGGGAGAGGGGGGCAAGGAAGACCAAAATAGAAAAATATTTGCAATTAGTCACCAAAGCTGTCAAATAAATGCAGTGAAGCAGAAGTCAAAACTTTCATAAAAAAATACTTGAGTAAAGCCTGGTGAGGTAAAGTTCCGTTTATTTCAGGCTCCGTGATAAACTATAGCCATAAGGTACCATCAGATCTAAATGTTCCAGCCACGAAAGTACCCCGCACTGTGCGTGCGGATGGGAAGGATATCTCCGCCCAGGCACTGATCCTATTGGCGGATCCCGCTGTCAAATCCGGAGGGTCCTGCTCGGAAGGCTCCACTGATTGGCTACAGGGGTCTGTGTGTGTGTGTGCAGGCAGCGCAGTCTGTTTGAATGTGCTGGTGACTGAAGAGGATCATTTCCATGGACCATCTGTCTTACTGGCTGCGCACAAAACAAAGAAGGACCCAGGATGGTTTTAGTGCATGTCGGATATCTGGTTCTCCCCGTCTTCGGCTCAGTTAGAAACAGAGGTATGAGGAGCTTTATGTTCTCTCTTTTTTTTTTTCTAACGCTAACCCCGAAATAATACTTCTTCATTACTTGTCTTAAATATCCACAGATGATGTAAACAGAGCTGACACCTGCTAGCTAAAAGCGAGCCAACGTAACAGCGAGCGATACCGAAATTATATTAGCCTTCTTGCTAGCTGTAGCCGAACCGAGACCGCTAATGAAGCGACCGAAGACGTGAGCCCTCAAATGCCGACGAAGACGTTGTGTTTCGGGCCTGTAAACCGCACTAAAAGGACTTCAGCTGTCAAGCGGCAGCTTTTCTTTTCCCCTTTTCATTTTTTTCTTTTTTACCCTCGGCGGCTAGCGCGCTTCTGTCTGGTTTATCTATTTATCCCTTCGCCTTGTTTATGTGTGTGCCGTCGCCGCTAGCTACTACAGCCCGGACAACAACGGCAGATTAATACCAGCCCAGCTTTATTTAGCTTACAACCTCCACAGGGGTTTCTTAAATTATGAATTTAGCCAAGCTAGGGTAGACCTCTGAATCCAAAGTGCATCCTTTAAAAAAATCTCATTTCTGCGAGTTACTTTAACTGGATGGTTCTTCCACTGAAAGACAGCATTAGGCTAATCGGTTTAAATTAGTATAAGCATATGACTGGTTTTTAATGCGAATAGGCTTTAACATTTTTGGAGCATGTCCCCGTCAAACCTCTAATAAAAATAATAATAAAAAAAATTCCCTGCAAATTTCGCTGCAGGTGCTCCAGTAGTGAAACAGCATAAAATCCGTTTAATAGGGCATAACAACAATAACATCATCCTCCACTGCAGCAGGGCTCTCTGTGTTGATTATGTAATAATAATAGTAATTTGTCGTGCATTGTTAAAACTACATGCAGTAGCACCAATGATTTCATTGTGCTTTTATTTGTGTTCTTTTTTCCTGTTCCATAGTATCGAGGCTGGCTCTACATTCCGCATTTCTCAGACCTTTGTCCCCCTCCATTGTGTAGCTAACGATCATCTGCTGCTGTCTGCCGTAGCCTCTGCCTGTTCTCTGCATCTAGCTGTATTGTGAACCCCTTCTTCCTCATTTCCTCTTTCCATCTGAAGACGACATTGGCATTAAAACAGAGTTCCCACTCATACCGTATCCTTCTGTGTAACAGACTAAAGAATAACACTCTCTGTAGAAAACAGTTTGTCTTAATTTAAACTGTCATGTTGCTCTTTAGTGAATAACCCATTGTAGCGTTAGACTTTACTACAGACTGTCATTGTGATTCTCCCATTCAGTGTGGATAGACTACATTCTGCTGTAAATTTCTGTAAAGTGGATACATTTTGATCCTCCCCTCCCCGATTCGATTACAGCCAGGCTTGATCGAACTCGTTGATTACTCTCCTCACAAAGGTGCATTGTACCGTCTTTTTGTTGTCAAAGGAGCACTTTACAATTGCTATTACTAATAATCTTGTTATCCTGATAATCACTAATTGGCATGCAGCGCTTAAGTCATTTTGTTTTTGGCGACGTTATGTTTTTTTTCCCCACATTTGAAGGTCCACTGCACCTGTTAATGGTTGCTGGTCATAATCCTATCCATGTGTCAAAGCATTTGTCCCTGCTAGCTGAGCGGACTTCACAATAAATTGGAGAGATGTGAATCTAAACCCATTTTGCCATTTTTGCAGCGCCCCACCACCACTACCACTCCCTCTCAAATCTTACCTCCAGCACCTCCAGAATGCTATCCATTTTACAGGGATGTGTATATCCTGCACTGCTGTAGATCTCCTTTTTTAGAATCAAAATGTCTTTTTTATTCTTTGGTTGTGGTTTTTCTGCCTTATGTTCTTGTATTAGATCCTAATGCATGGTCATTTTATACTTTTGTTTTTCCACATTGAACAGCAGATTCCAATGTAATCTTTGTGAAGAGATGTCCCTGCTGTACTGAAATGTGCTGTAAGCATACACATCTACTCATTGGATGCTGCTTCTGTTCTGTTAACCCTACAGAGAGCATGGTCAGGCCTTGCCTTTGGTCTTTATTTGCATGGGATTATTATTATGCTTATTATGCTTATGTAGAGTCTCTTACTCTTATTATTACTATTATCACACAGTGCCACACATACTAATATTTTTCCAATAAAGACTGTAGTTTTCTTCCTAACCTTCAGTGTGCTTTTTGCTGATTTCCATGTGTTCCTCCCCCTCCTCCCTCCACACTGTGCTGTCACTGAGACGGTCCCCTCACTCTATATGTGCTCTCATTTCTCAGCTGTCTTTGACAGAGTTTCTTCAGGTTGCCACACTGCTTACTTTGGAGTAGGGGCAAGCACATTTTCTTTCCATTTTTAAAATGCAAAGGCATGTTTGATATTGAAACCTCGACACTGACATTTCCTGTTACATACAGGCTGTCATTCCGTCCAAATCCATACACTATCTATAGACCAAAACACAGCCTCTCTCACAGTCAATCATTGGTGTTAACATTGTGAGCAATATGGGTGAAATCATGGTATGTGTAATATATATATTTTTAAATATAGTTAATAGAAGTATATTGCAAAAAAACACTCAAAAGGAGTTAAATAGTAAATAAAAATACAAGTGTTTAACAATAAAAAATTAAAAAAAAGCTGGCATGCTATATAAAATGAAAATAAAACAATATAATTTGCAAGCACGTTAAACCCTATATTTAAAAAATAAAATAAAAGTGAATTAATGAAGCACAAAATAGAATTTAAGGATTATTCAGGCCTTTTTCCTTTTCTTTATGGAAAACATAAGTTCTTGTTTTGAATTTGATGCCAGCAAAATCTTTCAAATAAGTTGTGACAGGGGCATGTTTACCACAGAGTTGCATCAGCTCTTCTAACAACACTCTTCAAGGGCTTGGAAACTATGGCAGACCGGTTGCTGTAGATTTGAAAGAAACATGTTTTCATGTAAGATTTCAGCAGCTCAACACTTCAGAGCCCCCTTTGTTATATACATGTTATTTATTTATCTTTGGTTCGCATTATCTAGAATGTTGATACTGGGTGATGGCCCTGACCTGTTTAGCCCCTGGACTCACTCTGTACAGAGCCATACTGCTGTAATTCGTGAGGAATGTTGTTTTGCACGGTCTTGCTGAAAAAAAAGCAAAGGCTTTCCAAAAAAGAAGTCATCTGATCCGATACCTGTACATATCAAATTGTTCAGCATTAATGGCGATTTCACAGATTTGTGAAAGCACCATCAAGATTTGTGAAGTTACTCATAATATTGCTCACTAATGTATGCGCATATCATCAGGAATGGTGCCATTCTTCTGAATTATATTTATGTATAATTTGTTTGTTTTTCACAGTGGTTTTGAGAAGTTGTTTAGTCCACTTCACAGATTTCCACCACAGAACTGAAATGGCGCTGGAGAGCACTGCCGTTCAGTGTTGGTTTTCAGCTTTCCCCCCTGAATACAGAGAATTCTTAGAATTCCCTTAATCTTTTAAACAACACTGAACTGGTGATTATATAACCCAGTGATAGTGGAAGATTATGGAGATTGTGTTTTACTTTGAAAAAAAAAACAACCCACTGGTGAAACACTCAACATAGTTGCATCTAAAAGACTCTCTTTTTAAACCCAATTACAAAATTGATCTATTTTCAGTTTACCCAATTGGAATCAATACTGTTTTTTAGAAGAGGTTTCAGGCATTTTACTAGCTGGGTTTTCCCATCTTTTTGGCCCCTGTCCTAAAAAGTATAGCTTACAATTCAAACTGAGTGTATATAAAACACAACAACAAAAACAAAAACAGGAAAGAAAAATAGGATAGTCATTTTTTTCTCTTCATCACAAAATCAGTACTGCTACCTTACCTTGTACCTTAGCAAGATGCCTTGAACAAAAGCCACCAAGTGGCTTTGTCTTACAAAGACAAAAACTACCTTCCAGCACATCTGTCAATCATTCATCGACATGTTTTAACTGAAAAGTGTAAAAGTACTATCCACTAGATAAGAGATAATGACTACCTATTAATTGGTGAGTTTTGCCTACATATTGAGTTTGCTGCCTCCTGGCTCTAGCCTTTAACATCAGTACTCAGCTATAAGAGCAATATAGACTTGACCTCCAGCACAAAGTGAACAAGTAGACAGTCCTAAATGTCTAGCTATTCCTTTTTGCAGTCTCCAAATGGGTACCGCAAAGACAATACAGAGGTTCAATAATTAAATGGTGGCTGCTCAGCCTGCATTTAAACTCGTGTCTCTGTGGTATGCTGTCAGGTCCTCAGCTGGTGTTTTTCTTTATTAGCACAACGGACCATGACACATTTATATTCATGTTGCCTTTCTAGCTGGTGACAGCAGCATAACTAAACCCAGTTAGGCTAACGTTGTTTCTCAAGCACAGATAATGTGTTAAACTCTGAGTAATGAGTGCAAATGAAATAAAAGAAGTCACATTTTTGTTGTTAGTAGTAACTCATTTCTCTTTACATGCTGGCTATGCACATCAGCCAGCTGTGTAATGACTTTTCATTTTCATCAAATCTTCAGTTTTTTAGACATCTGTTGTGTTTCTCTTTAAATGTGGCATTAGATGCTTCTTTGAAAAGTGTCCAAGTGGGACGCTTTTCTTCCATTTTAACACTTGACTCAGCTGCGTGAACCTTACATCTGCGCGCAGTGTCTGAAAAAGGCTAAAGGTGTGTCCGAGGCACAGCCATGTGTGCTCTGCAGCTGACTTCTAAATATTCCAGCAGCTGCACTGCATGTGCGGCTGCACTGATACAAAACCACGAAAAGCAAGGTCAGCACAATGGTTTTCCAAGCATGTGCATGTTATGCTGGATTTTTTTTTCTTCACCAAGTGCAGCTGTACAACACATGCACTGATTTTGCCTCATTAATCCTCACCTTCTGATGGTGAGTGTTATAATTGGCGACCTCAGCAGGTGTGGGGATGGTTTCTGCCTAATGGGAGACCAGTGAGACAGGCAGAGGACAGGAGTGTGTTAGAGAGGAGGTGTGATGTAAAGCTGCAGTGACTTCAGGAGGAGTGGAGGGAGAGAGAAAGAAAAGAGTTGAGGTTCCATGTCAGACTGCTGCAGTCGCAGGTGGGTGGGGCTTGCTGGCTGTCACTCACTGTGGGACACCATGCTGCAGCCATGCTGTGGGGGAGGGGCCGCCTGTGCAGCAGCTGAGGGGAGAGGATAGGTGGAAGGGTGTGTGTGTGTGTGTGTGTTTCTGTCTCTGAGTCAAAGACAAAGCCTCAGATGTAACAGTGGAAACATCAGGGCTGCTTCTGCTGGCAGCTCTGCAGTACGTCAAATATTAATGCCAGCAGTTCATGCTGTGAAAAGCTCCCAGACACAAATAATCTGATATTTACCCTGAACTCCACACAACAGTCCAGCTTTGCCGGGTCACAGGCTTCATGCAAAACTGATGCACAGCCTTTAACCAATCCAAGCCACCAGTCTGCCATTTCTGCTCTACTTCCTCAGCCAAATGCTGTTTTTCTCTTTGCCCGTGGCTCTCTGGGTTCACTGGCTTTCCATGTCCCGAGGCTATATCCAACAAAGCAAAGCCAGAGAAATATGTCGTTTCAGCAACAAAAAACAGAGCATTTTGGGAAATGCGTTTGTTTCATCTGCACAGAACTTTATCAAATCATAACCACTTCCCTGCACATCTAACTCTCCTTAATTGATTTGCTACGTCTTAAAAAAACAGTGAAGTAAAAGCAATATTTCCTTTTCTGCCGTTGAGAAATGTTACACACTTGTTAAATTTTAAATGAGATCTCAACTCAGTGAACCAGCTACTGTTAATTAAACTTGTCAGGAAATATTAAGTATGTCATAGACCATTAACAAAGAGCCAAATCTACAATGTGGCTTCATGTTATTGTTTGAAAGATTATGAGTAAACAGTTTAAATGGGCAGTTCTTATTCACGGGACATGCAAAGACACAATACTGACATATTTACGTATACACTGTCCTCCAGACCCCGCTGTCTGCTTTCCTCTCCAGAGGAAATTTAGAGAAGCTTTAATTGGAAGTTAAAGGAGTAATACTCTCAGCTTGCTTCCAGCATTCATTTCTGTGAGCTCTGAGTAATTTGTATTGATTGTTTTGTGCAAGTGCAACACCAAGGTGACTCAGTGGGACTAGCACACAACCTCCCATCTTCTCTGCTTAATAGGAAGGGTGGAGAGAAGACAAAAATGAAAGCCCATAAACTTTTCAGACTTTCTTGATGGCTATGGTGCATTACTGTTATCTGACTCTTTTGTTGAGAAAGCCTCAGTTTAATATGTTCCTTCAAACAGCAAACGCAATAAAAATAACAGAGTTTGAAACTATTGGTTTTGCTGGGATTCGTTTTGGAAATACCCTAGACCCCCAGTTAGTGAGGATGCGTCTTTCCTGTTGGCTGCACATGGCAAGTGGAGACGCAGACCATTGAGTGAAATCCGTCTGTGGGTTTAGTTGGTGCTCCACAGGGTTCTCCATGTCTGCGTCGTCCATCTGCTGTTTTGTCTGTCTTGTCTCTTCCTGTGTCACGTTCCTCTCTGCGTGGTTGGTTTTTAAATGTGTTTGTGTCTTTTTTACGAGTGTGTGCGAAAGTGCTGTTGGTTCGTCTCCTTGTCGTGTAAGTTTCAGTGAAAGTGATCGCAGCTCCGTTTTGATCCCTCGCATTTATTCCCAATAGGAGCGCACTTCACCAGGCATCAACACAGCCATGCTACCTCCTGCCGACACTTTCACCTGGGTGCTCCCCAGGCGCCCATCTCAGCTGAGTTTCCTCTAGGACATGCCAGCCAGCCCCCGCAGACAGGCCTGGCCACCCACCTGCCCCCGACGCACCATCCACCCCTCACTGCCCTGCCCGGACCCCCTCAGTTTCAGGATGTGCCGGGGCCTTCATTCCTACCTCAGGCCTTACACCAGCAATACCTCATCCAGCAGCAGCTCCTCGAAGCGCAGCATCGCAGGATCCTCCCACACTCCAGGTAGTGACCCTTGCATCCATACAAACACAACTAAAAAAACAAACAAAAAACCGAGATATTTTTAAATCAAATCTCTATCTAATTACAGAAGAGCCCAGGAGCGTATTCCCCTGAACCCTCACAGACTGCGTTCGGGCTACGAGTACTCCCCGCCCCTCCATGTTCCTCAGCCAATGACACAACAACCGCGGTACCTGGCCGAAGGCACCGACTGGTGAGTCACCGTTGGGGATTAACGAGAATCCTGCAGAGTTGAGAAATGATCCCGTCTTTTTTTATCTTTCCACCCATCTGTCTGTCTGCCACATTGCCTGGCATGGGCTATGTTAATTTAGCCACGTTCCTCTCTTTCTGCAGGGATCTCAGCGTAGATGCTGGCCTCCCTCACCATCAGTACCAGCTCCAGCAGCTTCCGCAGCACTATCAGCATTACCTGGCCTCCCCTCGAATGCATCACTTTCCCAGGAACACATCCTCTGCACAAGTGGTATGTTGGTCACTTCCTCAGGTGGCCTTGGATAGCTTGATAGTCTATATTCCTGCTGTAATATAATGAAGGATTTTGTTGTAGGTTGTGCATGAAATCAGAAACTACCCATACCCCCAGCTTCACCTGTTGGCGCTGCAAAGTTTAAATCCTTCGAGGCACGCCACTGCTGTGCGAGAAAGCTATGAGGTAAATCTGACTGTCCATCTATCAAACTCTGCACCTTCCCACGGTGTCACTTTAAGTTATATGTACTAACTGTTCTCTAGCTTTTAATCAGTATGAGCTTCATACGCAGATTTTTTTCATTCTTTCCTGACCATGAAAACAGCAGTGAACCAAACCATTTGTTGTCCATGTAGTAGCTTTTTCTCTTTTTAGCATTCTGGTTCATTTTATTAACTGGGCTGTTCCTGCAGGAGCTGCTGCAGCTGGAGGATCGACTGGGGAGCGTTAGCAGAGGAGCTGTTCAGACAACCATAGAGAGATTTACTTTTCCACACAAATACAAGAAGGTATGGCAGATGAGACAAAAATCTGTTGAACGTTTGCTTTTTTTCCCCCTTTTTTTTGACCCTACATTTCTGTCTCTCTGTAATGTGACCCACGAACAGAGAAAGCCCCTGCAGTTGAAGATTGGGGAGGAGGAGGAAACAGATGTTGATGAAAAATGTACCATATGTTTGTCCATGCTGGAGGACGGAGAAGATGTCAGGTAATAATTACTTTGTAGACCCAGAAATCATAAAAAAGAGAAGTGCACTTATTCTGAGTGAGTTAAATGGGAAAATCTATACCAAATTGATTTGATGGGAAACATGATGCTGCAGACTGCAGATGATGAGCTTAGCTCAGAGATGCATTGCAGGATGGGTCTAGACAGCAGGGACTGATGGGGAAGACGAGATGGAAGCCGGACTTCCTTTTCTATTATCGTAGACAATATGACATCATTGAAAGACTGATAAGCTAATTGCCTGAGTGAGACATCAAGCAATTGCAAGAGATAAAAGAGGCACGACTACAGGAATTACTGTACCATTACCATTATCAGCGTTGCCTTCTAACATTTTTGTCTGATTTTTGTTTTCCACTTTATAATAAATATCACTTTACCTGACTTATTGTCAGGTTTACTGATAATCATGATATGATACACCACATCTCTGTGTATTGTCTGCAAACTCCTCCTGTGCAGTCTGTAGCACAGCAGCCAAACGTTGCACACAGGTACATCTTAGGTCCCTGATGCTACTTAACCACCTACCAACAAGCTAAAGTGGACTATTTTTTAGCTTTTACAGAGCTATAACACCTTAAAATGTATATTATTTTGATTCAAGGACAGCAACATCTAATTGATACTTAAAAACTATGGTATATGTGATATAATGTCATCAGGCTTCCTGGCAATAAAGGACTAATAGTCAGAACATGAGCATGGGCCTGTAAAAGTAAATATAATAAATCCAATATCAGTCATTTCATGAAATGCAGTCATTTCAAATCATCATTTCATCCACTGTCTATGTAATATAATGTAAGAATTTCTGACAAATACCAAGTATTTACTTCTTCCCATTGTGTTTCTGCTGACCTTCTGAGCAAATCATTCATGAGAATCTTTCCAGTCCTGTACCACATGTGTGCATAAATGAGCCTCTGCTATGAGCTGTTGCCAGACAAATAGCTGAGACTCTAGGAAGCTGCTGATCATGGCTAAGAAATAGTCCAATCTCAAGCCACCCACATACCAAAATTTAGTTACATTTTTTTTTTTGATAGTTGTATTTTCACACGGAGACAAAAATCCCCTTTAGTGTTGCATCAGGAAAGGCATCCACCATAAAACTGATCAAACATGCAGAACTACCTGCTGCAGTGACCCCTTGTGAAAATGGTGCTGCCAAAAGTAGCCTCTATGCAGAGGCAGAAGCATGGCAACAACCTGCTTTTCAAATGCTGGAATTATAATCCCTAAAATGTTCTGTTCCATTACGCACATGCATTTGAAACAGTGGTTGGGAGGGAATTTTTAGGTAACAAGAACTGTCCCCCTGGGTGAGGCGAGAGGATCGGTTTGCAACATAAGAGTCTCAGCTGTCTGAGAGGCATTTGGGACTGACTACTCAACAACAAAAGTTGTCTCTACATGCCTGAATGAACAGAATTAACTCCCCGAGGGTCTTTTTAAGCTCACAACTGTATGCACTGGAAAAGTAACACACAGTCATGTGAATCCACACTGACCCTAAAGTTTGTCTCTCTTCCTATCCTGCAGGAGGCTGCCCTGCATGCACCTCTTCCACCAGGGCTGCGTGGACCAATGGCTGGCCACCAGCAGAAAGTGTCCAATCTGTCGAGTTGACATCGAAACACAGCTGAACCCCGACAGCTGATGAGATTCGACACTCTCGTGATTCAGTCGCCCTCGTGGTGCGATTCTTGCTTTCTTCCACCCCCGGCTCGCCAGCCTCCCCCACCTTACCCTACCCCACCCCACCTCCCTCGACCTCCTCCTTCCCGTCGGGTGCTTTGCCAAATGTCTCCAGACTTCATGTGACATCACCACCCTTCTGAGTCACGCTTTACTGAGCCAAGCCAGGAAAACTAACTGCACGGAGAGGCCGCAAAGGACTCTCTTTATATAGAAGCACATCCCTCTGGAAGCAAAAGACACACTAACAAACACATACTCATATACACAGGGTTTACTTGTAGCTTGCTGGTCTTACGTGGGGTTGTTGTTGCTGTTGTGGTGTTGTACTGTAGGTAGCCTGGGGCTGTGTAGCATGTCCTCAAAGCCATGACTTAATGTCCTGAGACTAGAAAACACATAACCCCAGACCTAGCTGGCTACTTTTCTCTCTTCTCTTCAATCTCTCTCTCTTGCTCTCTTTTTACACACACACACACACACACACACACACACACACACACACACACACACACACACACAAATATATATTTCTCTCTTTTTAAACACAATCAAAATGAATATTCTGCCACGCAAGAAAGCTTAACAGAATCTAAATGCTCTGATGCCATGTTTACCTAAAGATCATTTGTGGTCGTAGTAGAGTAGCAGTAACCAATAAGTGAGATCTGGTGCGACCTCCTCGAGGCCAAGCACCAGCTAGCTGGGTGTTTTAATTCTCTCATGCAGCTTTTGACATTTCGCAGTACAGTTGTGCGTTTACCTTGGGCTGGTGTCATGTGCCGATGGTGTGATGTGATTAGGTCTCATTCACTGTCAGGGAAAACCCAGTGACTGCGATGTTTTTGTGTTTGAAATTGAAAAAGAAGAAGAAGACAAAAAATAATAGTGTTTTCACCAAAATGCATTATGTCACAGTGTAGCTTGAATCTCCGCACAGGTTTTATGTCCACTGCCCATGCCATGTGTCACTTCAAGAGACTGCGTCTCACACAAACGTGTTAGGTGAAGAACACGGCAACTGGAGTGCTTATACAACACAAAACCAAAAGAAACAAAAAGAAAAAACACAAAAAAACCTGAAAAGGGATGAACAACAGACGCTATCATGCACTGCAGAGCGAGGTGGGAGGATTTAGCTGCCCTTGTACCTGCATTTCCATCTGGCACTAGGCCAGTGGCAGAACAGTGCACACTAAAAAACAAAAAAGGAAGATTGCATGTTTCATTTTTTGGGTTTGGGGCTGTTGGCTGTGGTAGCGTTTCTTCACTTTTAAAAGGTACAGAGACGCCTGTGCATGACTTAGTTAATCTGAGCTGTGACTATCTTCTGAACACTAACAAATATTAATAATAATAATAATAATTTTTAAAAAGTCAGTGGTTTGCTCCCCTGACTTGTAGCGCGTGTCATCCGGTTCCCTTTGGTGGCGACCTTGGGATCCTGTTTTTTGATGTTTACCTTATTGCCTAAAGAACAAGCACATGTGACGATAGTTATAGCAACAAAAGTTTCTCCTCGGCATCGCGTTTGGTTTATATATAGGTACGGATTCATGCAGTGTTTTGAGCTGGGAGAGGAGCTTGCGTATTGATCTTGTGTTATATTTGTGTGACAGACCTCCCCTCGTGGTTGCTATGCTGGTTGCTATGCTGTATTTGCTAGAACATGTAGAAACGTGGTGCGACGGAGGCAGCCTCCCTCTCACAGTGCACACAGACACGAGACGACAGGACAGCAGGAAAGCATTCAGGCTGTTAAAACACACACTCTCTCCATCACCATTTCTTCTCTCTTTTTTTTTTACCCTTTGTGTCAGCTTGTCACTTCAGTTCCACAGAGCTGTGTGTGTTTGTGTGTGTGCGCGTGTGTTACAGGACGCCTTTAGGACCCTCATTGTCCTCTCTGCACTGTGATAGCATATAACAAGGGTAACACTTGGCCCAGAGACTCAATTAACAAGGCTTACTTCTTCCTGTCTTGTGCACTGCCAGTGTTGACACTGCCTCCTCCTGTAGTGGAGTCATCCGTGATGAAAGTTGTCATAGTTTACACAGGGTGTTGTCAGTTGAGATGCCTTAAGTATTTAACAATCATAATTTATTACTAACTGTAGATACTGTGGGTATGTATTTAATTTTATATAGTTTTTTTTTTCTTTTTCTGGAGTTGGGTTGACTGAATCATAATTTATTTATTTACAAATATAACATGAAAAGGCTATTAAAAAATGGATACCTCATGTTTTTTGGTTGCATTGTTTTAAATGGGAATGCTTTGCATGCAGTTGTACTTTTTCGGAACACTAAAAGTAAAAAAAAAGAGGAAAAAAAGTTTTGCTGTTTGATCTCCACAAGCTGGCTGTGCGTTTACTGACCAAGGCTGAGCTACTGAGCCCGTTCTCTCTCTTTCTCTCTCTCTCTTCCTGTCTTCTATGTCTCTTTTTCTCTTTCATGTGGTGCTGTGGATCTTGGTTACATTCCATTCAATGCAATCTCTCCAATCCCCCATGCTGTGATGTAGTGAACAAACTGCAAGTGAATTGGTTTTGGTTTGTGACAATTTTTTTCTTTTTTTTTTTTCTTTCTTTTGCACTAACTTGTTTAAAATGGGAACCCTCTCACTGGCAAAAAAAATATTTTAGATTATTTAAATGAACTGGCTTTTATTTTTTTATGCTCTGCTTCTCACACAATGCACTAAGGGTCTTAATGAAACATGTTCCTTTGTTTTAACTCTTTGTGTTATCTCTTCAGTTGTCATCTCTCTAGTGTTTCTCTGTTCGTTGGTTTCTTATGTTGTTGTTTTTTTCCCCGAAATGCTTTGTAGATTTAAGCATAACAAGTGCCTCGCTTTAAGTGTTAGGGGATATTTCCATATAACGGAAACCATGAACAACAATCAGTCCATCCACCATGCCTTACTGGTTGCTTAGTTAATTAAGTGAATGGAAAACGAAGGAGCTGAGACAACATTTGACTAAAGCCATTATAATCAATCAATCCAAGTCAAGCTGTCCAAAAACTAGCTGCCGGTTTGTAGTACCGAAGCACTGCATTGCTGTGGAAATAGCTCTGACTATAAAGAGGCATGTTTCACCGTGGGCTTTACAGCGGTCCTTTCGATGTACTTCTCCATTCTGTTTTCTCCTCTTCTTTCCGTCTCCGTTTGATTTTACCGTCCGTCCCTCCTCTCCGACTCTCTCTCTGTTTGCTTTCACAGTCTAAAAAAGGAAGGCAAGGATTTAAAGCACAACCTTTTCTAAAGAACAAAAAACAAATGCATGTTTTCTCAGGTTTCAGTGTAGTCGCAATGGTTTCATAGTATATGGTGAAAATATATACAAAGAATATAACAGAAAAAAAATTATAAATTTTGTTGCTGCTTGAATCTGACAAAAACCAACAAGTGAAGAGAAACTATCCCAAAAAGTGCCAGTGAAAGGGCTGCCGCCATCCTTGTATGAAAACCTGCTGTTTAGCTGTGACTGCGCAATGTTTTTTCAAAATAGGATATTTTATCTGAAAATAGAACTATTTATCATTAATATTAAAGCAATAGCGCATTAAAATGGTTTTGAGCGTGTTGATGATGAAGTGGATGAGCCTGTTATGGGTAAATGTTAGATTTACATTTGGTGGAATTTTGTACTTTATTTATTATTACTACTACTAATAATGATGATAATGATCTCAAAGGTTGCATTGCTAAACCCAAACTGTTCTGTTTTTAATTTTTATTTTATTTCATGGCTTGTATATTATCCTTTTATATGTGCTCTTTTTGTAATAAACTTGGTAAAATGGAAGTGAACCTATTTTTTTCTTTTGTCTTTTTTTTAACCCCTCAAAATGCAGCAGTTTTGTACTTCATCCTTAGTTAAAGGCAGTGTTGGGACTAACGCGTTATTAAGTAACGCGTTACAGTAACTACGTTATTATTGTGGTAACGAGCACGGTAACTAGTTATTATGCCAAAATCAGGAACGCGTTACTCGTTACTGGGATTTAGATAGGGTCGTTACTCGTTACTTCGTGTGGTGGCTATCGCGGAGCTTCCACAGATTCAGTAACATTAGCAAGTGGTGGAGGCAGCAGGTGGATGAAGGAAAAGGGACGCAGAAGGAAAAGAGACCCGAGGCGGCCGCCGGTCCAAGTGTGAACTGACCTTCAGGTAAGAAGTTATGACCTGCAGTCTCTCTGGGTCAGATATGAACCAAGTTTAGGTGGAGTTTATTTTCGTTATTCTGACTTTTTCCGTACTGCGTGCTAGCTAGCATGACGGAGTTTCTATACAGCTGGGTGGGTGCTATGAAGTTAATGATGTTTAACTTTATTTTGTTCATAAGTTATTAGAGTTGCCAACCGTCCCGTCTGGTATTCAGAGAAAATATTACGCGTTTCTTATTGAGGTGAAAAGGAACAGTTTGTCCCGTAATTCAGCTACAATGAAAAAGGCACAAAGCTGGAGTTACTCTGTGTCTTTGCTGCACAGCTGCCTCTTCTCTCATTCTCCCCCCTCCCTCTCCCGTTTCTACTTCAATCATGAAAACTGATCAGTGATCAGCTGATCGTCTTTTCTCTCTTGTGTGTTTATCGCCCACTTTGCGCAGAAAGAGGAAACCAGCGGATGTCGCGCTAAACAACAGCAGCACGTTTAAGCTTGATCAGCTGTTGTTAGAATTTATTTAATATTAATTTCTAGTATCAGCTGATGTTTGCTGGAGCCACAGCTGCAAAAAAGCTGCTGGTCATGATATGGTTTGGTTATGTGGTGAGAGGGAAACATGAAGATGAAACCAGGAGATGTCCTTACTGGATCATCAGAGCTGAACAGGTGATGGAGAAACAGGTTTACCTTTTAGGTGACATGAATGAGTTGAAGTTATGAACTGTTTCTGAGAGACAAATAACACCAGGATCCTTTTCTAAGTAGCTGACAGCTGGTAACTGTGCAGGGGCGGGTCTAGCAAAGTGTTGCCAGGGGGGCAGGTAGGGCATTAACAGGGAAAGGGGGGCACAAAGAAATACTTTTCTTTCTTATTCTCATTTAAAATGTCTAGCTTTTAAAAAAGAATTATCTGAATCTTACAACAAACGATTGATAGATTGATGCATATATACCATCAAAACAGTGTACATCACTGTCACAACAGTGTTTGTTTTCATTCAAAGGCTTTATGATTTTCCCTATAATGGTGGGCCAGTCTCTAGTCAAAATGCCCGGGATGATTTTTTTGTCCCAGTCCAGCTCTGTATGCAGCTCATCTGCAGTCTGGTGTTGCCTACATCTTCCTATTCGGAAGGCAGAATTTCCGAGTTCTGAGTACAATCGAAAGCACCACGACTGCAGTTTTTGTGTTGGATGTAAAAGGCGCAGATGACACTGTGACGTAGGCTAGAATCATGGCAGCAGTCAATGACGGTCCAGGCGTGGGATTTCTCTCGTGGAAATATGCACATTATCTTTTTCTTTCTATTGGTAGGTGGCACAGTGCACTTGTGGCAAGTAAGCAAGCTAGAAGACTGGCAAAGTTATGGAAGCAACACATTAACAAGAGAATTCTGAGTAAAACCAAAGTTACTTTCCCTAGTAACTAGTTACTTTGAAAGTAACGAGTAACTTGAAGTAACTGAGTTACTTTTGAGAGAAGTAACTAGTAATGTAACTAAGTTACTATTTTAAAGTAACTTACCCAACACTGGTTAAAGGTGAAGTCAGGTCATCAGATTGTTTTATAGAGAAAAAAAAAAGATATTGTACTTATAAATTTATAGCGTTTTACGTATGTGGCTAGAGATCACCCACATGTCAGCTTTGATGGGATCTCCTTTACCAAAGAAGTGAAAACACAAAGAAAAGAGGCAACAGCATCTGGATATAAAGTCATCCTCTTCCTCCTCACCTCAAGTCTTATCTGCTGAACTGAAGTCAGGACTCTAAAACACAAAAATGTGTATAAACATCCTCATTTATTCCTAATATTATTCCAGTTACTTATTGTCAGAAGATTAGACTGTTATCTGTCTATCTCCAGCTAGCTGACAAAAGCTAACAACAACAGCAGCTGGTTTTAAGCTAACATTATGCTAGCTAACGTTAGGCTAAAGTATCCTAAAATTCCTAAAAATCCTAAAAATTCACACTTGATTACATTCTCACACCTTATAAGAGGTTATTCACTCAGAGCGTCAGAGTTCAGCAAAGCTACATCCACTTCAAAGACTGTTTCACAGAAGCTAACAGAGGCTACCAGCAGCAAAAACTATAGTGCCGCCTAATGTTCTGTATGTCCTCAACAACTCACCTTAGTATGGCTGTCATTGTTCAGACATGAGCTTCTCTGACTCAGTGACACATATTGGACTTGAAAATAGAGATAGGTGCTTCTTACTGGGCATTGACAGCTAAGGCAAACAGAAGACTGACAGCTTTTCACAAATAGGGAAAAACTCTTTCCGGATCTGGTCCAAACATTAATAGAAACTTGCCGACTGACCATGTCACCATGGGGAACAGTCTAAATTTAATGTTTATGGTCTCTCTTGACTGACTACAACATGTTTTTCCTTTGGCCACCGTATCTAGGATTATACACTTGAATCAGGGACAAAAGAACTCAGTTGACTGATTTCTGCAATCTACTGACATGTAGCGGTTAGATTGTAATTCAAAAACCCGAAGAAATCATGGAATCTCTGTGTGTCCCTGTATTGTTGACTAGACATTAAAACAATTGTTTTGGGCCAAGGAAAAAGTTATAAATATAAAATTCATACACAATTACTTCTTAACGATCACTTTGACATATTTGAATGTCCCATTTGAGTCATTTATTTACCTGTTTAATGTAATGTCTAAATATCATTCTCCACAATTTGCATAGGATCATCAAAACTGAACAACAGAAGATTGGAAAATCATTGCCTGGTCTGTTGAGACTCAGTTTTTGCTGCAGAAATTCAGATGCTAGGGTCAGAATTTTGTGTAAACAACATGAAAGCATGGATCTATCCTGCGTTGTATCAGTGATTCAGGCTGATACTGGTGATGGTGTAATAGTGTGGAGGAGATTTTCTTGGCACATGTTGGGACCCTCAGTATCAACTGAGCATCATTTTAACACCACAGCCTACCTGAGTATTGATGCTGACCGTGCCCATCCCTTTATGACCACAGTGTACCAGTCTCCTTCCAGCATGATAGTGCGACAGGTCACAAAGCTCAAATCAACTCAAACTGGTTTCTTGATTTGTTGAATGAATTCACTGCACATAAATTGTCTCCACAGTCACCGGATCTCAGTCCAATATAGCATCTTTGCAAGTTTGTGGAACTGAATATTTGCAACAACTGTGTAATGCAATCAGGTCAATATGGATCAAAATCTCTGAGGAATATTTCCAGCATTTTGTTTGCTGTGTTTAAGGCAGCTCTGAAGGCAAAAGGAGACGACTGTAATAGCAAAGTATAACTAATGAAGTGCCCAATGAGTGTATATTTCTGCTTAACCAGACTTGAAGGTAAAGTTTAGACCTACCAGCAAGTCAGAAGTGAAGCTGAAAACTGGGTGTTATAAACAAATTGGATTTATTTATTCATTTGTTCATTTTATAAAATCTGTATTACAACAAAACAATGCAAAGAATCCCTGATATTTAAAAAGATTGGCACTTTCCTTTTTCCTGACCACATTAGACATCATCATGACATGTTTTTTTTTTAATGTCTCAGTTCCTGAGATATAAAACTTGCTAGAAGGAGAATCTCTTTGGTCATTACTTTTAAACATAAGAGGACATGCTTGAGCTGTAGGGTTTTTTAGTATTTTGGGTAGATGGCCCTGGAGATCTTTCCATCTGCCTTCTTAGAGTCCAGCCATTTCCCGCAGAGAAAGATAGTGGTAACACCATTGGCTGTGTTGGTGACTTCCACACGATCGAGGAGCCAGCCAGGGCTGAGACCGGAGTTGTCGTGTTCTACCCGGACTTTCTGCAACTCCCCCATGTCCAGCATTTCCACAGAGAAACGGTCTGTTTGCCCACGTTCAAAAAGGTTACGAAACTTCTGACGCAGTTGCCTGCAACCCGAATCTCCATTGGAGCCATAGAGAGTAATGAAAACATTGGCATCGGTTCCTGCACCCTTTTCATCACCTGTGATGACGATGATCTCATATTTGACAGGTACCAGGCTTCGAGCTTTGCTTGCAAAGCTCTCGATGGTCTTTGTGCACTCAACGGTGATGAAATCGTCCCTCTTAGGAGAAAGAGGAATGAGGGAATTGCATTTGAAAATGTACCTGGAGATAATGGAGCAGAGCAGAAGGAATATAGTCTAACCATTTGAGAATATCAAGAAATTGTTTGATGGTGGAAAATAAATGAATGGCTACAGTGGGGAAGCAGCTGCCTTACTTGTTTCCCAGTTCTCTTTCGGTCACAACAACCTCCTCCACGTGCCAGTAAACCTCCCCCTTTACTTTCTTTCCATCCTTGGGTGTATGGCCCAGACAGATGCCAGCAATATCACCCAAGTTCTTGGATGAAAATTCAAACCTGTCAACATTTCCCCTAAAAAGAGAGAGGAACATGGATTCGTTGGTGAAAGTAGCTATTAGAGCAGGGCGATATGACCAAAAATATTTCTCACGATATACATTTGAAAATTTGCGATAACGATATAACTGACGATATAATTGACACTAGACAAAATACTTTACAACTCCACAATTGTATTAGTGCAAAAAACCCCATCAATGTATTTTCACTTAAACAAGCAGCTGTTTTTTGCATTAAAGTTATATAAAAATG